CAGCAGACTCTTCCTTACCCTTAAGCTGGTTAGCTCTGGTTTCAAGCAAATTCCTCCCAATACAACAAGTTTTTATCAAAATGTTCTCTCAAAATCTACTTGTAAATTTCTACAGAGAGTTATAAATGCTGATTTGTAAAAGAAATTTCTACAAAAAAAGATTCAGAAAAAAATATCTTATAAAATAGCACCTGCTATAATTAGTATAGAGACAGATGTAAGTTAAATATAGAAAATGCAGCTGTGATTTACTCCTTTGCTTGCATAAATTAAAGTAGCTCTTTGCCCACTGTAACTTCCACTACAAGTCAGTCTGGTGTGCAATAACATTCAGCATCAGGGAGGATTTAGAATGATTTCTCACTGCTTTTTCAAGAAATATGAATTTTTCATTGCTGAGGACTCAGCTGCCTGTCTTGTGGCAGATCCATTTTGGGGTAACTCGGTCTCTGCTGTAGTTATAATCCTTACGTAATTTAATATTTTCACAAAAAATGTAACCATACACTGTATTTCTAAAGGTATGTGAGAAGAATATACCTAGAGAACCAGCACGCTCCACAAGAACAGAAGCAGCACTGTTTGTAGGGGAGGGTGTCTCTGCTCCTTAGGAGTAGCAAATCAAAACAGTCCATTACTTTATTATGTAAAATCGTAATAATTACAGGTTGTCCACAAAAGTAATTATGAATTTGTTTTGGTCTTTACCTAACCGTTCTAGCCAGTTCTACTGCAGTTCTTCATACTGATTGTTCCCATAAATTGAAAAATGTAATCTAAATTCATTTCTCTGTATCTCTTGCACTTTCCAGGTTTGCGAGATGGAAAAGCATTACCAGACATATGAAAGCACTGGCTTTCAGCTTTTAGTATTTAATTAAAGTTCATTTTTAAGATGTATTCTTATTTATGGTGTGTAGATAAATGTATTTGCTGACAATCATAAAAAAAAAAAAAAAAGATTATGTGATTCCAACACTCCTTGTAATAATTTTTTATTATTTATTTTAAGAGCCAACATATTGTTCCTTTAAAATATAGTAGATTAAAAAGATGGACATTTCTCTTTTATATTCTGACGAACACAGGAAAAGGAACAATCAATCAAAGCCTTTTGTAGTTAAAGTGAAATTATTATTTTTCCAAACATATTGTGGTTCAGATTTTGTTTAACTTCTTCAGCAGAGATTACTTTTAGAAATTCTCACTTGTTCAGAAAAAAAATATTCATCTGAACATATTTATCATCCCAGGGTTTTTCATTATTTTTATTTAAAAAGGAAGTTCTTGTTCAAGATTATTTCTTTTAAATCTGGCTTAGGCAAGGTTTTTACGTGGAGGTATAAACTCTTCAGATGTTTCATGGTAATATGAAGAGGTTAACAGGTGTCTTAGAAATATTTTGAGGTTTATTACGTGTCCTCAGTTGCATTTAATCCATCTAAGCTAAAGTACCATGAATCAAGGTTTCTCTTAAATGCTGTGTCAGTCTGCAAATGAATCTTATAGTCCCATCCCTGAAAATAAACATTTAACCTACCTGTGTAGTTGCAGATAAGCTGCTCATGCTTACATTTGCAAAGTATCACTCTTCCATTTTCCACCCAAAATAAAACTTACTATGTATTAATTTTTCATGGAATTATTCAGGAAAAAAATAAAAAAGCCACCAGAAAAGCAGCTTCTCGATGTGTTTCAGTTGATCAGTAGCTGAAGATGATTTCTTAGAAATCACGTAATAATGGTGGTGAAATATTAGCCATCTCAAAGGTGGAAAAGGAGGAGGTTTTGTATTTCCACAGGTATGGTTATTGGATTTAATACTGTGCCTAATCAAATACGCAAGGATTTAATTACAACAGAGTGACTGAAAGTGGAGCCATCAGATAATTTCCATGAGAGCTTCAAAGGAGGACCGAAGACAGACACTGCTCATACCTCATAATACCACCAGAGGTTTTAAAACAAGAAGTTTTTTATTGTTTCAAGAGTCACGGGTTACTGGAGCAAAATGACAACTTTCTGCAAACCCACGGGGCTAACAGCGAGTCCAGCCAGCTGTTGCGGGGGGTCGCAGTGTGCTCCACAGCCCCTAAGTGGACATCCAAAAGTCACCCAGCCTGCAGCCTTGCACCAGGAGGAGAAGGGGGACCTGGCGCGGAGAAGAGCTGGAGCTACCACTGGTCTTACAGAAACTAAAAGTACCCCTGCTTTTAAGGGAGAGGCTGGAGTTACTACTGAATTGTTACTACCACAGTTGCCAGCAGGGAACTGCGCAATTCCCCCTCTGTAAGGATGGTATTTGAGCAAACCAGTAACCAAATAGCCAGTGGGAGGAAAGATTTACATACCTACAGATTTATAATTATTTCATATTAACTGGTTCCTGGCATTATGACATGCTAAGTCCCTATTTTCTTTACCGGGCACCAAAGACCAATATGGTGACTATCCCATTCTAAGTACAGCACGTGAGGTGCAGAGTAGGAGCTTTCTAATTTCTAGTTTTCAAGCACTGACCAGTTAAACTGTCCTGGAACTAAGCTGTGACTGAGATGCCTTCATTTGAGCTGAGTCCAGATGAATTTGTGACAAATTGTTTAGTCCCTCTATTTTCATCACTGTGGTAATAAAGAAGAAAAAAAAAAAAAAAAAGGAAAATTAAAACCAAAATGCTTCCTTGACTAATGTTTTCCAATGTCCATGTCGGATACCTTGAGATATGCTGGATTTCTATTTAACTACCTGTGAACTAGAGCGTGATTTTGGGTAGCTGTTGAAAAGCTTTGTGCTTAGTTTACATTTTGACATGCATGGATTATTTTTAAAAAAAAATAAAAATCAACAACAAAAACAAACAAACCAACCAACAAAAAAACCCTCAATGGTCATACTAGTATCTTTTTCTCTTCCTCCCACCCCTCCCACCTCCACCTTTTTTTTTTCTTGTGGGGATGTGTCTGGTGACCAATAAAGCAGTACTAAAGCAAAGCCAGTCCCATTTCAGCTTCAGAAAGAGCTTTGTACCTCACTCTGTAAGAAGATCCTACTCTTGCTCTATTTTATTTCTGGAGTGACGTATGGCAACTTTGGTAATTCTGATAGCTCTTTCAGATAAACGGCATTTTCAGCGTTGACACGTGTTAACATCACTGTAGCATCTGATGAGCACAGAGGAAATTCAGTCCCATCTGAGAAATCCTGGGGGGGAATGGGGTAGAGGGCAACAGCTCCTCCTTGACAAGGGCTCTCGGCTCAGGAGTCCCGTAGTCTTGTCCCCCTTTTATTCAGTGCTGAAGTGAAGCTGTTGTGATTGATGAGGGGTGGGCTACAGTGTCATCAGGATGCTAATGCACAACTCTGCAGCTCTGTTTTAGCAGATCCAGACACACCAACACTCTTCTCCTCCCAGCATCCGCAAGGGACTGGTAGGATGAGGCTGACCAGTTGTCATACAGGACGCAGATAATATGGCAATGATGCTGACTGGCAAGCAGGAACCAGAACATGTAACCTTTCCTTTAGGTACAGATTATTCCATTTCTCCTATCAAAAGTATTCAGAATAATAATAATAAAAAAAAAAAGATAAAAACTGTTAATCTTGTCGATGGTTAGGAGCTGTTAACAGCTTTAAGCTTTGGATGTATATGAAATAATGGTTTTTGTCTCTCATGATGATTTCACCAGCTTTGAATTGTCTCTGACCATTAACTAGAAATTCACTTAACCTGAGATTAATCTTGAAAGACAGGAAATGAAAGGTAATGCTGCGCAGGCCTTCCGAGACATGTATTAATCCCAGCCTTTGACACAAACATGGTTTTATATAGCAAAATAACAAATGAGCTATCCTTATCTCGCTGTGAAGTCCTACATCTGTATCATTTACCTCAAGAAATCTAGGAAGGAGAAACACTTATCCATGCCCATCACTGACTTTCTCTACTTCACCTTGGAATAAAACTAGAGTGCCTCATTTCCACTCCATTTCAAAATGCAGTCGCTCACGCACATGAGTTCCTTAACAAAATAGCATTTTTCATCAGGAAGACACAGAAGAACTCCAGATTATGCAGTGGCTGTGGATCTTTTACAGGAGGGAAGGCAAAATAGCGATTACTGTTGATAAACCTGCAAATGGTCTACAGTCAAGCAATGTCAGAAATTCGCTCTCCCTCTCTAACCATACAAAAGGAATAAATTAACTGCCACTGCTGAGGGAAGCCCGAGTCCTCATTTCTCCCAGCACTTAGAAAACAGTCTGGAGAAACAAGGTAGAGCAAAGAATTGCCCGGCATCTGGGTAACCAGAGCGCCCAGTCTTCTGCAGTGTTCTCAGGCTTCATGTAGATGTTTGATTTGAGACTCCTGTCGCATGCTCATCACAAGGTGGCCAGATCAGATTCTCCTTTCATTTCGTCATATATTTACATTCATATCCTTTCATCATAATATGAAATACTTTTGTGGCTGTTCCAGTATACCTGCAGTGCTTGAACAGCTTTGAATGTTTAAAAGAATTATAAAATGAAGATATTTAGCACCTTGCCAAGCTAGTTGCAGTATCTTGTACAGTATCTTGCTGAGCAATAAGAAAAGTAAGTTGGACTTCTGCTTCGATTTATTTCATTCAAGCAGAGGCTCACAGAAATGGCACATCTACATAATCTCAGTGGGATCTTTGGGACATCTTACCTTTCTTTACATGTTGCAAAAGTTTACCCTTGGCAAGCAAAGAAAGAAAAGGAACCAGCGACGCACTGCAGTCATCTGTTTGGGGAGGAATTTATCCCTGTTGAGGGCTGAAGGACCCTCTCCTGGCCTCGGGAACCGGGCAGAGCTGGAGGGGAAAGCGACCACCAGGACTGGTCCTCAGGGGAAGCCCAGTCTGTCCCCCCCCCCTCGGATCCCTCAGGCTCCGTGAGGGGCTGCGCCCCGCCGAGGGGCCGCGGGGGGTAAGGGGTGGCTGAGCTATAGGTCCGACCTGTTGCTTTGCTTTTTACACGTCCAGCCGGGCGTCGAGAGGATTACCTCGGTCATCCGAGATGGGGGAAAGGAGAAAGAGGCGCTTCTCCTCCCAGCCACCTTCAGAGGTGCACGGTGGGACAACTTGAAAGTTAAAAAACTTAAAGGCTGCCAACAGCTTTGAGAGGGTCAGCCCCGGCGGGGTAGGGGTGGGAGTGGGAGTGGAATGTAACACTTTAAGCGGGATTATAACCATCGCGGCTCTTCCCATACAGCCAAAACTCAGCGCGGACCCCAGGCGCCGTACAACCCAGGCAAGAGCAGGGGTGTCCCCCCCGCGGGACCAAACCACCCACTTGCGAGGGCTCCGCT